GAGCAGACTGGTCTAGTGGAAGATGTCCCTGCTCATGGCAGGGGGGTTGGAGCCAGATGATCTTGACCCTTCCAACCCAAACCATTCAGTGATTCTATGAGTCTATGATCCAACGCACCATCGAGCACCCTAAGGAATAGGCAGCAGCTGGCATTGGAGGGGTGTTGCGTGCTCGGTGACTGCCTTGGGGGACACAGCTTCCAGCAAATCGCAGAACCACGGAATCAGCACAGTTTGGGTGGGAAAGGACCTTCACAGATCATCTAGTCCAGCAGGTCAACAAGACCAGGAGACTAAGGCTATGTCAAGTACTTGGTTTTCCTCGGTGGGACATGTTTCTCTCATAACCCCCTTCTCTCCTTTTCCTCAAAGTCTATAATAAATCGTAATTTGTTGGATGTAATCGTTCAGTGACTGTCAGCTTCCTTAGAACTGTCTGTGGGAGCTACAAACAAAAAATATTGTTTACCAATAACATCCTGCACATTAGGAATAAGCAAAATAAACAACCCAGTATACAGATGTAACTGAAGCTATCTGCTGAGATGGATCCAGTTCTCAGTCCCGGGCTCTGGGGACTCCATCAGGAACATTTTTTCATCTTAACCTCTAACCAGGACAGGAAATCCTTTTGCCCTCGAATTTGTTCCCAAGTTTTCCGCGCTGAAAAACGGGACCGCGCCAACCCCTGCGGAAAAGCCTTAGATGGGGGTCACGGCACCCCGCTCCCTCCAGCTCCACGTCCCCCTCGGACAAGGGCAGCACACTTACGGGATCCGCGGGGGAATCTCTTCTTCCGCCTTGAAACGCCCGGTCCACAGGAGGATTTTTCTGTCAAACTTCGAGGGTTTGTAGCTCGCGGCCACCTTGTGAGCCTGCTGGGCTGAAACGCGAGGGGAGCCCCGCTCCGTCAGTCGGACCGCGCCGACGGCGGGAGGGGAAAGCACCCGCCCGTCCCACTGGCTGGAAGGGCAGCGGCGGATCGAAACCCCCGGAGTGGCCTC